TCGTTTCGAAATACGTGTTTGAGTCCGTGGTTTTGCTTAAAGCGTAGTAGGATTATATATTAGAACTGACTTCACCGTAAGTCAGGTCTGTAGGGTTATCGTTCCTATCGTTTACCTGCCCTCATGTCACTTGAGGGGGATGACACCCCCTTCCACCAATTTTTTATTTCAAAGAATAGAATAATTTCAATAAATTTATAGTTTCACTAGTCATTGCTTGGCGCCATAAAGGTTTATGGGCATTCATAAATAATTTCCCATTAATTGGCACAAAGTATATTGTAGCTAATGTTATTAGTTTTTAGCTTAATTGGACAGTATAATATACGATGTCATAAATATATAATAATCAACGGATCGTGGGTTCGATCCCCAACGGGTCCTAACGTGTTTTCAATTAATTTATAATTTTTCTAGAACATGTTGGGCTTTCTCTGAAAATCTGGACAATATATAGTTGGAAGGAAATGGAAATTTCGTTCGCGTCACGAGCCATTGGCCACAGATGAAAAAGTCGTGAAGTTCAATCTCGTTTCGGTTTATTCTATAGATTCTCGAATGCCAATTTGTCAGCCATACTGTTTCCTTAGATGTTATATAGCTGGGATATTTCAAGTCCAGCTTTCTAAAACAAAAAAAAAATAAATAAAGGCGATATTTTGCAATCACAAATTGTTCGTGTTTATTACGACCTTTACTATTTACATATTGCTACTTGATTATACAAAATAATTAGGCGCACAGCGTTAAGCGCGAGGGTCGTGGGTTTGAATCCCAGGAAAACAAAAGATTGTTTCGATGTGGCAGGGCAGTTTGATCGACTTAACTTTTTTTGTCATTCCAAATGACACTTAAAAGTCTATAAAGAAATCGTAATACAGATATAAAAAATAAACGTCTGCTTTGACTGATTATTAATTATTAATCTCATACGAAATGGGTTGTTCATAATTCATTGTTTATACCAACAATAAAATCGCGAAACAAATTGATTCGCTGGCTCTACTAAGCGCACCATATTAACAGTGCTTTAATACAATTTTAATGAAAATACCCACCGTCGTTTCTCGCTAACAAAACGTCTTTATCCCTTTACGTAATTTACGATCCGCAATAAAGTCTCGTACCTAAATATCAGTTAATAAAAGTTAGAATATGCGAGTGCCTGTGTCTGGCTGGCGTACTAAAAAATTAAACACGCATAGTGTTGTCTCGGCTGCTTTATCGACAAACGCGTTTTGCTCATCACTACTCCCAACATTTTAAGTGAAAATCTTGTTACGTAGTAATATTAAATTCTTAACGTTTGTTAATGAAATGCCTTCATGTACAACTTTTTTAGTCTAAAAAAATTTATGACGTCGTTTCAATAATTTCAATATTAAATTCAAAGTATGTTTCTATCATTTTTCTTTAATTTGTTAAGAAAAAACTTTTCTTTTCCAAAAAATAATTTCCGATTTTTATAATTAAAAGATCAAGAGATTAGTTAAAAAAAATACCTATACGACGCGATTAGGATTTCACGCCAAACACAGCGTTCCGTGCTGACTGCTGTTCTAACCAATTTAGTTAACGTGCCTTACACGTCATTGTCGTGTTTTTTTTAATTTTTTGATACATACACCTCACGTGCAGTATAATTTTAACCTTAAAACCTGTTATTGCACAACAATATATTATGCAATAACAAGTGAAAAATATTAAAGTTACAACATTACTAAAAATGTGGCTATAATCCTTCCAAAATAACAAAATACGATAACGTTTAGTACTTCTGACCTGTCAGAACTCTACAATATTTTGTTAAGAGTCCAAACTTTTTGTCGTCAACTCCAATTATAACTGTAAACATTTGTGTTAAGGCTTCGACAGACCGAAATTGGAAATCTTTAATATTCATAATACCATACCTAGTTAATCAAACCAATCAAATCCAATAACGATCTTTTTAAGCCTCAATTCTACCGACATTTTACGAGGTGCAAGTCTTTAAGGATTATTAAATATTTGGTCGTAAAACATCGATATTGGACGATAATTTGATGTCGCCAGCCCATCACTACTTAGGTCAAAGCCGATCGAAGATCGTAAAATGTTATGATAACCATTATCATCACAAAAGACGCGTGTAATTGTTTGTCAAATAAATACTAATAAAAGTTTGATGTTTATTAAATAAAATCTAAAAAATAACTCGACTTTTTTATGACAGAGAGGAACGTAGGAGCTTGGGGACCTTCGTATATATCGTCTCAACACGATGCGCAGTCGACCTTTTTTCGCTTTGGAAGTTCGGAAATCCACCGCGAACATCCAAACCGAAACTAAATTACACATAAAGCCTTTTCCATCTGTAATGCTCTGCACGTAATTATGATATTCTTACCGTCCATTTTACATTCAGATTTTCCAGACGAACACGTTTCAGAAAACTATATTGGAGGTGGGATTTAAACCCGCATAATTGCAACAACCGACCAACGAGGTCCTCAAAATACTATTTATAGTATTACTATTAAACGAATATTTTTCTGTTGTTAGAAATAAAAAGAAGATAAATCTTAGCACATCCACACCAAATAAATATTAAAAAAGAAGTAAAAACTATACAAAATGAAAAAATAGACATTACAAGATAAAGGACAAGATTGCGTTTTTTACGTGAATAAAATAATACTCTTGACTCTTACGAAATCCAATTCTTACATAGAAAAATGTTGTATGTTCAAGCCCCTTCACTAGCGACTTACCATAGGTAATTGAAACGGAAATTAATGTACGACTAACTTCATTATCACATTGATAAACGTCGTTATTAGATAGGGCAATATTTATTGGAAATTATTATGTCATTGCCGAAAATAGGTTTCCGTTTAAAACATTACTTATACAAGGCGATAAGTGTTTCCAATTGAAAAATCGTTTTTCGTTTTCTAAGGATTCGAATGTAAGACATCGTCAAGAAAACAAGCGGTCAAGGCTTGATGGTTAAACGTTCGTTATATTCGAGACTTCTGAGGGAAATGAAACTAAATTGTTTCGGTTGAGTAGGGCACAAAATCTAGACACAAGGCACAAGCACATATAACCGACACAGAAATGTGTGCCCTTATGCGTAGGGTAAGGCTTAACTTTTTCATTACTTTAAGATTTCACTTTTGTATCTGTTGTTTATTACAGCGGTTAAACTTACACATATATATGAATTATTCAAATTTAAGCTGTATACTTCAATATTTTTAAACGGTTTTATTTAGCTCGACCCGTACGGAGTTTATTTATTTGGGTCAAAATCAGAAATTAAAATTTAAGCACCCTCCCGTTGTCAGATTGATCTGAAATTCGGTGCACACATTTAATTTAGATGCCAATATAATATAATAAAATTAATAATATTATAAATCTAAGATGGCTGCCGATACAAAATGGCGGATTACACATTTTTCCTACTCCCTCAATATGGGTAACAAATAAAAGGGTACACAATAGTCAAACACGATGATTATGTCAAAATTTAAAATGTTTTGTAGTTTTCAGTGTACAAAAAATAAAACCGTTACACTTAAAAGTTTATTTACCGATTTTATTTATTTCACAAAAATAATAATTTCAGATTCTGAATCAATAAACTTGTAGTGAGCGGAATCACTAACACTAACAAGCGAAAAAAAAATTAGTTTCGCAAACATTACTTCTAAGTCCCATCTCAATTCATACTCACTAGCGCGATTTCGGGTGAGGTCATATAATTGCTGCACGTACTTCCCTTCACCAGGCCTTGTCTGTGATTGCTAATTATCTATGACTCACTATAATCATGAAGATGAACCTCTAAATTATTATTAGTGTTTTGCCGACTAATTCATTCACTATATAAAACACTTTTAAGCGCGCAATATAGCCATTTCAGAGAGGAAATTGTAAAGAGGGCATCCCAAAAGTCAAAGCCACCACTGCTATGTAGCACCACCATGCTTCGTCATTGATATTTCTAGAAACAGCAGATTTCGCTTAATGTTATCCGTCTGTGACCACAGCTGCTGTAAATACAACGTCGTTTTGAACCGTCAGACGTGTTTTACTTTAATCACCAGGTACTCAAAGGATGTCGTAACTTTTCATTATCTAAAGTATATTTTGCTTGCATAATTACATGTTAGGATGTAACTTACTCGGTATTTATTTTATTTCGAATTTTGAGAAATGAAACACAGGAAGATATTTAAAATACATTTATTCTAATAATACACAAGGATACAAAATACAATTTCTCTTATATTCTTAAGATGCAACCTATTTTTATTTACATATAGATATGTACATTATTCTACGAGAAAACATTTAAAAGAGTTTAGTTGCCGAAAGTATTCAGAAACTGTTGCTCATTTATTAATTATAAAACTAAAAACCAGCATTAAAATATGACAAAGTATTTTTAAATAATATTCGTTAATTCTGTATGCCGTTTTTAAGATCAGAAGTTACTGCATGGTAGGTACCAATGAAAAAAAACAACACTTTACAATTCCTGTCTTATGACGTCTAGTTTTAGTTCACATGTATGTTGTTTACCTTCACTTGTGACACTTTAAAAAAACTACCTTTAACGGTTTAAAACGCGAAATGTAGTAGTAGCAAAACTTTCTGTCTACCCGTGGCCACGGAAACTGCACAGCATCCGAAACATCGGGCCGTAGTTAAAATAAATATAAATGAGTTTAAATGATACAATTCGCGTTTGAAACTGTTAAAATTGATTTAAGTACTGAATTAATCAGTATAATACTAATGATAATCTAAAGCACTTTTAACGGTTTAAAATGCGATATATATAAGTAAACTTATTTTTAACTTATTTTAACTACGGGCCGACGATTCGGATGATAAGTAGCATCTATGGTCATGGAGGTACTAATATATTTTAAGTTGTAAACCGTAAAAAGTGTTTTATTTAAAATGTTTCGCCCTTAATAACTTACAAATCACTTGAGATATAATTAACACATTAAATCGGCTCTTTGCCTCAATAACTCTAATCGGATCTCGTGTTCCCTGGCCGCCAGCCTCAACGCATGAATACTAGAGCTAGCCACATCGTCCACATGTATAGACTCACTGCCAGGTGAAATTGGGGGGGAGATGGACGGTGCAGGGGATTGTGGCCGCGAACGGTCGGGGGATACCCTTGCTTCCGAGGAGACTCTAGAATGCTCTGATGTGTGGTCGGAGTATTGTGGGGACAGCCTCGGCGCCTCTGGTGCGGTCAGGTTGGCTAGCAGCGAGTGGAAGTGCGCGGGCGACGTCGCGTAAAGCGGTGCGCCAAAATGGAGAGGCCGCGAGAGAGGGGGCAAGTATTGAGCTCCGAATAGTGGCGTATTCGCGTATCTGTGAATGTTATATTATATGTAAAAAAATAGAATCACGTTTTTATTATAGAGGAGGACACACAAGCTCGGGGTTCACTGGATGGTAAGTTAAATATTCCAAGCCATTTAATATCTAAACAAGATGCGCTATTTTGGCGTTTCCCCTACGTGGGGCATGGAGTGTGCTACACTTTTGTGTCCGTATCACTGATTGATTTTATTTACAGGCAGACTTGTGTGTCCTGCCAGTACGAAACAATTTTTACAAGACTCGAACCAATGAACTCTCGTGCTTTATGCCTAAACCATTGAACTATAGAAGAGATCAATATGTATTTAAAACAAAAATACTGACATAGTCAATACAATATTTTTTACAGTGGCAATCAAATCTTATTTAATACAGGTTCTCAATTTCAACTACGAATCTAGATAAGTTATTTTTCTAATATGTAATTACTGATTATATTTACCAAAAATATGATTTAATATTATAATACCTTGCTAAATTGTGCAATATGTATTTGTATTAAAGAAAAACATACAATCCTCAACATTTCAAATATTTACCTGAACGACACTAATGCGTTGTCAAACGGTTTCCTCAAGCTGAAGCCGAGCTGTGAGAGGGGGTGCGGGGGTGGTGGTAAACTGGCCGGTGGGGGGAGGGGTTGCCCGCTGCCCAGATAACCGCTATACGGGTGCGCATGTGGTCCCACCTTTTCCTGCTTACGCCATTTTGCTCGCCGGTTTTGAAACCATACCTTGAGGGAAAATACACTTTAGTGGTAGGTTTTAGTCCCCCCCGTAGTCTCCCCCGGCCAAAGCCCAGGGGCGTTTTTTTTTTTTTTTTTTTTTTTTTTTTTTTTTTTTTTTATTTAATGTGTACTATTCGCGTAAACTATAGACAGTATTTTCAACTATTCATATTTCTAAAGGATAAAAAAAGTGAAGTGTAAACATAGATTTTACTTACAATCGATTAATTGTTTGTTTAAGTATGAATTTAGAGTGTAAGTGTAAAGACAAAATGGACTATTTTAACTCTTTTTAAATACATAATAGGTGAAATAACCCCAACCATATAACGATCGTCGATTTATTTTGGCTATGGATAGAAAATCCACACTGCAACCGAAACGCGATTAAACTTCACGGCTTTTGCTGACGAAGTCCAACAGATTTAAAAAAATATATATGAAAAACATGTTGGATGGGGATCGAACCTGCTACTATCATTATTATAAGCCATACACTTTTGCCATTAGACCAATGAGAATACCCTAGCTTTAGCTGAGAATTCCCTTTTAATGTTGAAAGAGGCTCACATCCAATTACTTACCTTCAATCCATATGAAAAGGTGCAAGGGAAACTGTTAAGGCTGTGCGTGTTAATGAACGCTGATTAAAACCCGTTAAAATATTTTTCCTTTATTATTAAGACGTTATAAACCAATAAGGCACGTCTCATAGCATTCCAGTGACTCGTACGAGTAGGACGACCATGATTTGAGGCAGTTAAGAGATATTTACTGCAGCAATTATTGGCAATTGCAAAACGTATAGTGTTTATTAATTACCAATTAATGCCACGTTATGCATTGTTTGAAAAAATCGTGTTTTTTATGAGGGTAACTGGCTATTTATTTAATTTTTGGCAAAGAGGATATTGTTACAAGGATTCATTACGAAAATGTAAAGAATTAGGTTATATTATGCTTTTGATCATGCCTTTTAAAGATCGATGAACTATACTATACCTTTTAACGTAAAATGATTAATTAAACTTACGATGTAGGTATTATAGTAATAAAAAGAGAAATTATTTTTCTGAGTAAACTCTCGTTTTGATTTATCCTTGAAAACAGCCTTGATATCTTTCACCCTTTACACATAGTAATTGAAATAAAATATGGAATGAATTAGTACTATGCTATACCAGTATGTAATCTACGGTATACAACATCCTAACGCCATTTATCGCACTAATGAGTCATTCGACAATTTAAAATCGCAAGTTCTTAGAACAAAGCGCATTTAAAAGGAAGGTATAATCATAATCGCATTTATGTGTGGGTACAGCGTAAAAAACTCGCCTTACTTTCATCATAATTATTTTAATGCCCTCTATTCGATTGTAATAGATGTGATTCAAAAGCACGGCGTTTCTCCGTTTTTATCAGAAAGTCGTTAAGCTGTGCACTCAATATTATACAGTTTTAATGGGAATGTCCCTTAACGAAGGGTTAATGGCTGCCTCATCACACAGTCATTAGTATGGACGTGAGAAAAATATTAACGTTTAACAAATACTTTTTGTTCTCTGTAATCGATCGATGATCAAAGGTGCGATTAGGCCGGTCGACGAGTTTGAAATATTTAATTGACACATAATTGCATTATTAATATAATCACCTTTAATCAAGTTAGCAAGTTGAATTATAAATAATCCCGATTTATTAAGACAAATTGGTCATCCTATTTTTAGTACCTTCATTTCTAAAAGTCTACAATGTAGCTACATAGCTGACCTGGCAAACATTCTTTTTCGACTAAATTTGGTGGCCATAAAAATGGTCTCGGCCACTTTTTTACATTACTTAAAGAAAAATAATTCTGATATAAATTAAACATATATTTGGATTGAAATAGTTACTGACATTTTTTTTTCGTTTTTTTCATCTTAGGAACTGAGCAAGCGTGCCTTACTACTTCAGTTATTCAATTTATTATATTTCAGAACGGTTATTATATTTAATTAAGTTCAATGACCCACCTAATACGAGACAAACAAAATCTTCAGTAAAAAGTTAATACGAGAGAAAGACGGATGAAATTATTAGTTTTTACCGCGAACCATAAACGTCTTTAGCTTGTTAGAGAATTTCATCACGCGTCATTCAAACTTTTTAGTGTTTTAAACATTAAATTGGACGGTCCACGTTTTGCATTCTTTAGCTCGCCAGCAAATTAAAGCTAACTTAAGCTTATTATAACCGTTTATAATAGCTACAGCTTAATCTCGAATTAATCTATCGCTCGATGGTTTAATGGTAGCAATGTGTAGCTTATAATCAACGGGTCATGTTTTCAAACCCCGCCGGGCCCAACATGTTACTAATTCAATTTATATTTGTTGAAACATGTTGAATGAACTTCGTCTGAAAACCTGGATAGTAAATGGCTGGTAGGAATATCACAATTCGGTCCCGGTCGCAAACCACATTCTACTGATGAAAAAGTCGTGAAGTTTTTTGGAGGAGATATATATGGAATAACCAAATTTGTTAGTAAGTAATAGGTACTAATCTGTAGCTATAACTAAATCGTAAAATTTACAAAATTAATGATAATTAATATTTTTAAGTACTTACTTGTATTCTTGCTTCTGTGAGACCAATTTTCAGAGCCAATTCCTCCCTAAGACAAAAATTAAAATTAAAATATTGATACTATCACAGTGTATTATTTTGAAGTCAAATCTTTATAAGTTTTGTGTACTTTTTTAATATAAAAAAAACATAAGATGGAGGGACAGGAATTTTATGTTTCTGTGGGACAGCGCAATAAATGATTATTATAATATACATTTATATCGATAATAAAAGCAATTTGGACACAATCGTTCCCTTCCATTCCAAAATATGACAACAAACAGCGTATATATTTTTTGCCGTTAAATACCTTTCTCTTACCTAGTAAAAACATCAGGATAATGCGTCCTTCCGAATGCTTTCTCTAACTCGTCAAGTTGGTAACTGGTGAATGTAGTTCTGTAACGGCGTTGTTTCCTCCGGGGAATGTCTTCATCATCAGCTCCATGTGAGCCAGGTCTATCCAGATCTAGATTGGGCAGATCGGTAGCGGACACGTGTTCGGAAACGCCCATTTTCACAGATTCTACAAAAAAACATTAAACATTAATAAATACACAATTATTTAAATTAGACTCAACTTGCAGCAGCAGCTTCCACATATATCTGATTTATTCTTAAGTATTGTATTTTTGTGGTACTTTTTATTTAGTTGCACGAGGATTCAATTATTTGATATAAAAAAGCCTGTCTTCTTATACTTAGATAAAACATATAGTTATTTACAATAATAACATTTACCAGAAATACTAAATTTATAGAATTTTCAAACTAAAAATATTTTTTTAAATATTATTATTATTATTATTTATATAGGTTTATGTATGTATATAGGTTACTTTCGTTTCTCTTAATTTTACTTAAATCGAGATATTTATTGATGATTATTTTTATACGTTAGATATAATTGATTAATATTTTTCCTGTCAGCATCTTAAACCTACAACTTCTCTAACCGAAATAGAAACAAAGCCGTAATTTAAAAGTTTAAAACTAACATAACAACCTAATAAGCGAAAAGAAAAATTTAATTGCCCAAGTTTTCATTAAAATACTTAGTTGTTCATCTAATTAAAAAGGTAAATTGCGTATTTTCGCAAACAGTAATCGAGTAGTTAATTTTTAAGTTAATTAAACTTTTATGCTAATTTAACGCTTAATTAAACGAAGAACATAGTTCTTAAGACTATCTAAATTCCTTTAGAATAATTATTTACTAACGATATAATTTCTCATTAAAACATGTTTTCAATTTGGATAACTTTTCCATTGCGCCTTTTATTACTAAATATATAGTATCTATATGACTAAGTAAATTTTAAGATATAAAAAGAGTATCTAGTAGTTAGTATTTAGTTTAAATAAGTTTAAGTAATATCTTTCGCGCTTCAACCCGTTAAATTCTTTTATTTAGATATAGAAATGCAAATTAAGTTTGTTTAAATTATACTTTCATTGCCTCCGTACAGCGTTGAGCCCGTGAGGTCCTGTGTTCTAATCACGAAAAAAACGATATTTTTTTTTTGGTTGGGTAGGGCGCAGAAGCAAATCGACATCATGTCTGTTAATAAAATGTGTTCGTTCCTTACCCTTTAGGATTTGATTAAACTTTTTGTTAACTGAGAAGGTACCTACCTATTTACCTTTTTTTCAATGTTCAATTATACAATAAGTATTTGAATTAGTAAAAAAATAATATTGCTCAAAATAATTGTAGACAATAATAATTAAATATATAAATGTTTTGTTAAATAAAATTATATCTTTCGTGTTTATTTTTCGTTGGCCAGTAATCTATAAATCATTGATCCTCTATTAAGAATTCAATGACTGTGTGAATGAATCGACCTAAATAGGAGTTTTTCCTTCAATTTACCCATGGCTCGTCAGACACCGCTAATCCTATGAGGTATGACCGCACCTGTCTTAACATCTGTCGTTGGAAATTAATTAACTTTGACGTGACTAAGCAAATATTTAGGAAAATCTCATTTATAGGAAACGTAAACACAATCGGATAATTTCGAATATCCAAAGCAACTATAGGCCGACAGCGCATCTTGCTTAGATGTTGTATGCCTGGGGTATTTCACCTCCCATCAAATGCCTGCTTATCTGTCCTCCTCTATATTAAAAAAAGTCAAATGACTAAGGCAGTAATATCAAGTTTAATATTTGATTAACTTAAGTTCCGAAAACTCCAACAACGACATACAGTTAGAGGTTATATATTTATGTATAACTAAATATTTCATATAAATAATCATGTAGGGAAACAAAACGGAACTGTAAAAAAAATCGTTTAACGAAAGGGACGACGCACGATTTCGATTATTTCTTTTAATGAATTTAGTGATTTGAAGAATAAGCGTAGGTCTGTCTGTATGTCTCGAATCTATGTATATTATATCATTACAGTTTTTATTGGCTAGTCAAAGTTTATTTTTAATCTAATTAAATTAATAACTAAGGAATATATTATTAATTTTGTAGGTTATTTTTGTATTTCTTTTAACCTTGAAACTCAATTTAAACAATAAATACTTACCTTAAAATTACTGTAACTGGTTTTGTACGCACAAAAACATGGCTCCGATAAAAAATGATTAAATTAAATGAACGAAACCATTAAGAATTGTAGTTTGCTGGTTCAGCGGTTCCATTGCTTATTGGCCGTAGATACAAAGTTAATTACTGTAATTAATATACAGTATTGGCCTATACTACTTCTTAAGAACAATTTAAATTCTAATATATTTAAAAAGTACTATGCGCTTACAACGTACTAAGAGAACGACATATTAGTAACAAGTCTTTAACCAATTATATTATATTTGTTTAAGTTAAAAAACTTGTTTTAACGATAGAGGAGATAAGAGGAGGATGAGAGGTGGAATACCCCAGTCATATAACACAAGATGCCCTGTCTACCTATTTTGGCCTATATTCGGCAATCCACTGACTGAAATCGAAGCGTGCGTTTCATTTATGGACGGTGGTTCGTGACTCGGGTGGAATGTCGATACTCCTACCGCCCATTTAGATATAGAAAATAAAAAAAAATTGAAACATGTCTGTCGCGGTGGAGATCAAACCCACGAACCGTTGAATATTAACCATACATTGCTACCATTAGACCAAAAACATATCATTTCAATGTCGTTATAGTGCATGGGGCAGACACATTTCTGTGTCTAATGCTGTGCCTATTAAATGTATCAAAATTATTCCATAAGCCCAGGATTCAGACCTGTGATATGTTTTAACTTTATAGGTGTAAATATTTTTATAAGCTAAGTGAGATAAAAAAAATAATATAAACAAAATAGTGTAATATTTGAGAAGTCTCGCTGGTTTAAATCGCACCTGAGTACTTATTCAAAATATTACAGTTAGATATAACGTGCTAATATAGACATTTAAAATGTATGTTTCGAGAAAGGCCACAGTATAAATGATAGCCCATGTGACATATAAAAACGTTGCTTATTGATTAATCACTTGTGATGGTTGCATGACGACATTTTAATTAATTTTTCAGCCATAAATATTCGCGAACCAACTGTTAAATTATACAAGTGAAAATTGTCTGCATAATTCAATGTTACTGTTGATTAAAATAATAAGAATACGCAAATCTTTAACAACGTGAAATTTAAGCGGAAAATACCTTTAATTCGAACTACATATTTGCATTAGCTGTAGAATTAACAACTGTCATATTCCGTCAAGTTTAATCGCGTTTCGGTTTCAGGCTGCGGATTTCCGAATATCCAAAGTCAAAATAGGTCGACAGCGTATCTTTTTAGTATGCGGTATTTCACCTTCCATCACGTTAGCCCCATGACTGTCTGTTCTTTTCTATCATAAAAAAATCTAGAATATTTTTTTACAGAAGAACGGTCAATGATGCTCAACGTATTATGATTTTAGAATCTAGTGCCACTACATTCCCCCCTCCTTATTAACTAAATAAAAGATTACCTACTACTTGTTAAAAATAATTAATTACTTCTCTAGAAATATACAAGAAACATACTACTACGAAGAATACGAGATCAGATTACTCACTCCGTCTGGAATTTAATAGAATTAGTGTCGATACATTGGCGCCTACCCGGATTATACCACAGAAGTAATATTCTTCCATTAGTTCCACAGATTATCTACTGTTTTGTCACCAGGCTCGTGACACGTTAATAACACTAAAGAGGTTGTGTAATTTTTAAATGGAGATCATTTGACGACGTTTACGAGGTTGAATAGTCTGTAGTTAAATTTTGATTTGAAATAGACATACTGGTTCATGAGCTGATGTATGTGACAGACTCATACCGTGGAAGCCATAATCCATATCGTTATTACATTACACGTTAAATCGCTAAGGAAATTAGAATGAAATTTATAACAGATACATTATATAAATAGATACATGCACGGTGCACAATGACTATCAAAGAAAACTCTTAAAGATAAACTAGAACGTAGCTTTTTACGGATTATTTTGATAAATATAGAAAACATAGGTTTAATAGAAAAACGGAGTTGAAGACATATTCAAAAACAAAAAAAACTATTCGAAGTGTAAAGGTGTTATCAGGTAGCAGACAGGCATCAGTCACGGGTGACTCAGCCACTTTTAGCTTATCTAGAGGTTTCAAATAATCCCAAACACCATTAACACTCGCTTTTACTAATGGACAAAAACTCGTAATCCCCGAATTATACGTTTCTGTTGATTGCAAAACCAACACATAATATTCGGAGACGAAAAAACGAAAAGCAGATATTTTGAAATCGATTCAAAAAACAAACTAATTGTCCACACGCAATATCAAAACCCAAATAATAATATCAGAGATAGACGCAATCAATTCGGAATATAACATTCATATTATGCCAATCAACAGTTGATATTAATCTCATACAAATCCAGACTAATTTCATAACAATAATGAATCAAAAAATTTCATCGCAATTAAAATTCGAGATAAAAATCGCTAACCGACTTTCCTATTAAACAGCCGCTGGTAGCTAAGAGTAGCGTGTAATGAGAAATCAGAATGTTAATTAAGATCTAATTAAAGCTAATACAATCAATGCTGCCCGCGTTCCGGAGGCAACCGCAAGTCATCCCGAGTTATCTGGACCAGCTCAGGTAGATCCTTCCTTACTTCCTAACTTCACAACAAATTTAAACGTCGACATCAAAAGAAGGGATCTTCAAACCTGGTGAGGTTAACCGAATTGAGATCGGCCAACCCTTTAGTAAAAAATTGGTTAGATTCACTCATTTGGGAGACTATTGTAATGTGAGAACTCAATTTAGTATGCATTGAAGACATCCATGATAGTAAAGATATCAACGTAATTAGAAAGGGGAGTCTGAATTGGATTAAACTGAGAGTCGTGTTGGTTTAGTGGTATGTGTATTTCATTCTGATCGTCAGGTCGAAGGTTAAATTCTCAGTAGAGCATAAAAATTATTATTATTGTTTAATTTCGAACCCGACCT